TATTAATTAACACACAAAAAATATATAATAACTAAATCCTTATAACTTAAAGTAAAGCGGTATAAAAACCCTTAAATAATAATTTATAAATCGTCGAGTTTTCTCACCCGCCAACTGCTCTGTTCCCTCCGTTTGACCAAGCGCCCTGCTGGCTGCTGCTAGAAACGTAGCAATCTTATTCTCTTTTTTTCTTTTTCTTTTTTTCCCTTTAATGGAGTGAAATGATTTAGAAAAGCAACCCAAGGACAAATTCAGCAAGCAGAGATTGAAAGACCGAGCCGTAAGCAAATAGTTGGGGAATTTTTATCCCAATGGTTCGACCCCAAACCAAATCTTAAATGTTTTGATGAGATAATCGAAGTTTTGAGGTTTATTATTATCGTGAACTTCACTAAAAAAACGACTTAATGGTCGCGCGCCTCATTTAAGGGGTGAAATGTTCACTAAATCTGAAAACTAATTGCTAACAATTAACGCACTAACTTTTTAATAATTACCTATGTCAAAAAAAAAAAAAGTTAGGGAATTTTTAAAGTGAAGTGAGGTAGAAAAATTAGAGGGAGTTTTTTTTTATTATTATTTATTTTGATTACATAATAGAAAATACTTATCTTTTATTTTTTATTTCATCTCATTTGCATGTTATGTCATTCAAACTCAAAATCTTTTATTTTCAGTAAAAAGAGATAATTACTAAATTATTTAGATAGTTAAATAAAATGAAGTTTTAGTTGTCTTTTGTTTTTATTCTTTTATTCCTTGTAAATTCTATATTTGTATACATCTTTTTTCAAATATTTTCTTCATGAACTAAATTACTTAATTAGGATTATAATATGCACCTGGCACTAGAGACTCAATGACATTAGTCATTGAAGAGATGCATTCCCCTTCTCATGTGTGGGTTTTAAACTCGTCCAATGTCAAAATGTTCAAAAAAAATTAGGATTATAATACAATTTAATCAATTTAAGATAAATTTTGTGATTTCTATAATTTTAATTAAAGTTATTTATATGATAAATTTTTATTGTTGAATTTAATATTTTAAATGTTTTATCACTTTTTTATGGTTACATGGTTTATACATAAATTTGAGAAAGAATTATATAAATTAAATTGACAATAATATAAATTATATGTTAAATTATAAAATTAGAAGATAATTAACATCACACGTATTTTTTCTAGCTTAGTGTCATGTATAGTAGTTGAGGAGGAGATGAGAG